ATATAAGCGATCAAATAATATTGTCGATCTAGAATATCACAAGAATGTTTCCAAGGACCTAAAGAAATTTATATATGAGGTTTGAGAAGAATATGAAGAGTCGATAGCATGTAGCCAAAACTGTAAAAAATTATACAAATATATTAGATCTTCACTGTCATCAAAAGTATCCATTCCTTTACTAAACAAAGAAAATGGAAGTCCCTGCCAAACTAATTTCGAAACGGCTGAACTTTTAGCTAATACCTTTACAAAAGTTTTCACCAATGAACCTCTCCAGGATCAGTTACCAGATATCTCACCCGAAAGAATCCCTTCTTCCTTAGAACGGCTCAATTTTACTCCTGAAATTGTCAAACGTCACCTTTTAAAATTAAAAAACAACTCTCCGGGTCTAGATCAAATATCTTCTCTATTTTTAAAAAAATGCTCTAATACCATATCAGTTCCTTTATCTATTATAATGTCTTTGTCCTGTATCTGGAAACAGCTGGAAACAGCTTCTGTAACACCCATTTTCAAGAAAGGAAACAAACTAGACTCTAATAACTACCGCCCAATCAGCCTCATACCCATAATCTGTAAAGTTATGGAATCCATAATAACAGAGCACGTTTCTCAGTTTATCTTAGTGGAAGAAATCATTCCCAAACAACAACATGGATTTGTAAAAGGGCGATCAACCATGACCAATTGGCTTTGGTGTGTAAATGAGTGGACAGTTTAATTAGACAGGAAAAAACCTATAGACATTATTTACCTGGATTTTGCTAAAGCTTTTGATCGTGTGCCGAAACGAAGATTACTACATAAGTTAGAACACCTTGGTATACGTGGTGATTTACTTAAATGGATCGAGTCATTCTTAACTGATAGAAAGTACTGTGTTAAAGTTGTAAATTCGCATTCACTTGAAAGACCAGTTTTGAGCCCCACTCTCCCTGAGGAACCCTGAGGAACCCCATTCCTCAGGGATCAGTTTTCGAAAAATTGAGTTAGTGCCACAATTTAGCCGCCCGCTGTATAATAAATAAAATTAAAAATCCAAACAACAAAATAATAATAACATAATACAAATTTAAAAAATGCGCGTCCAAAAGATCCTGTAAATTAACAAGCAGTATCAACATTAAAAACAAAAAATCTAAATATATCCTTCAAGTTAAATTTATTATATTTTTTTGTTTTCTAATTAAAAATTATCATGTTTTAAGAACAAGTAAATTGATTCTTGTCTGGACATTTTGCAAAGTGTCTAATATTACAGAATGCCCTCATTATTTAATTATCCTCTGCTTCATCTACGATTTTCTTTAGGCATTCAATTTTAAAGGTTCAGACTCGACCGTTGTTGGTAATTCGCACCCTATAACGAATTTGCAACGTTAAGAGTCTCATATATCTTATGCTAAATCGCCTATGTAATTACCTTAATATAAGTTAAAGTTTGTCGAATAACGAGATAAATGTCATGAAGTGGCTATCAAGTACCTTGCGATTAAACGTGTCTCCGACATAAGTGGCACTTTGTCTTTGATAAACTACCACGTGAATAGATCGAATATGGATGCTAAAGTGCGCTTGAAACGGATTAATCGCTTACGTAATGTTATTGCGATATAGCAAGTTGGTTGACTCAATAATTTATGTATTATTCAAATGTTATATATCGTTGTCCATTTTAAAGTAAATTAAAAACATAGGCAATCTATTGACATTATTTTTTAACAGGTTTTCTAACAATATTTCCAATATTTCACCCATAATCATTACTTTATATAAAATATAGTTTTATTCCAATAAATAAATGAAATTAGGGCCAAAATCATATTCAATGTAACGCCCAGCGTAAGCTTATTTTCAACAGACAGTAACTACTCATGAACAACAGCTTGTCAATTACAAAAAATATAAAATAGCTGCTAATAATATTTTTCTTCCGATATGGAAAGTAAGATCTCTTCCTTAAAAGATGAAATTTCTTCTGATATGTCTTCTAAAAAATAAAATTTCTGCTGGTGTGAAAAACAAGATGTCTTTTGTAGAGAACAAAATAAAATAAAGGACTGTAAAAGGAGAAGAACAGGGAAATAAATCGGACCAATTGTTTCACATGATAAAAAACCTTATTGAGAAGCAACCGAAGGCTATTAGGTGCTGGAATTGCGGTGAAATGGGAAATGTAAGCAGTTCGCGCAAACGCCCAAAGAACACTACGAATCGAAAAACCGTGCCGGTGGCTATACAGGAAGAAACGGTGTTGCCTGAAAGTAGTGAAACCATAAGAGTAAGGCGGTTGCAAGGAACTGTAGAGAAAGCAACGCCTGTCATGGCAGAACCTTCGAAGCGCAATGAAGGTGTTAGTCAAGGAACTCTGATTAGAAAGGGGTTGGCCATATCTGTTAAAGAAGTTACAGTACTAAGAACAACTGTAGTCAACGATGAGTGGGCCCCTGCTAAAATTAGGGAAGAACAAGAGAATGATACCGTTTTGAAGAAGATGCGACAATGGAAAGAGAAAAATCGTCTACCTACTTGGCAAAAAGTATCTAATCTCTCTCCAGTACTTAAGTCGTATTTGGCTCAGTGGGACTCCTTTATCCTGGAAGATGGCTTATTCAGTCGAGTACTTGAAAATGATTATGGTTCCAAGAACAGAAGACAGTTGGTCATTCCAATGAGTAGAGTAGTCGACGTACTTTCTCAGTTACACGACAGTCCATCAGGAGGACCTCTCGGTGTTAGGAAAACCCTTCAGAGAGTTCGGGAAAGGTTGTATTGAATGAACAGTTGCAATGATATAAAGGACTGGTGTAAGAAATGTACCAGCTGTGCTGTGAGTAATGGACCTCAGCGAAAAAGGAAGGTTCCCATGAAGTAATACAAAGTTGGTAGCCCATTTGAGAGGATCGCCTTAGATATTGCTGGACCATTCCCCATGACCGAGAAGGTTTGTTTTAATACAACCGAATGCCCTTTGGAATCAAAGTGGCACCTAGTATATTCCAACAGACAATTGATATTATGCTCTCCAGAATATCTGGAACGGCAGCTTACATAGATGACATTTTGATTGCCGGAAAAATGGAAGAAGAACATTACCAAAATTTAGTTCTTAACCGAATAAAAGAATTCGTATTTCATGTTAAACTCCAAAAATGTGAATTTGGCGTAAGAGAAATTAAGTATTTGGGATATATTTTGAATGAAAAGGGAATTCGACTAGATTCTTCCAAAGCAGAAGTTATATGAAACATGCCTATACCACACGACATTGCCAGCCTTCGATCATTCCTTGGGGCCATTAACTACTATGGGAAATTCATTAAAGATATGCACAAACTTCGGCAACCTTTAAATCAACTTCTAAAGAAAGGTTCAAAATTTACTTGGTCAAGAGATTGTCAAGAATATTTTAATAAATTTAAAGATATTCTACAGTCTAACTTGCTTTTAACCCATTATGATCCTAGCCATGAAATCATCGTGGCTGGAGACGCAAGCATTTATGGTATTGGAGCGTGAATTTTACATAAATTTGAAGATAGTACTACTAAGGCAATTAGTCAAGCCTTAAGAACTTTTACAGAGACTGAGAAAAAGTATAGCCAGATAGCACTTATTTTTTCAGTGACTAAATTCCATAAGAAGATATATGGTCGAAAATTCACCATTCAAACAGATCACATACCACTTCTTGCAATATTTGGATCCAAGAAAGGTATACCAGTCTATGTAGCTAATCGACTTCAGCGTTGGGCACTAACTTCAATATCGAATATGTGATAATAACATACTTTGGATGTGCTGATGTTTTGTCAAGGTTAATAAGCAGTAATCTAGGGCAAACGAAAAAATCTCCATTGCTTAGATAGAAACAGAAGTCTGTCAAATATTCGATGCAACAATTGAAAACCTACCCGTTAATTTTAGTATGATATACCGTGAAACGGATAAAGATACAACTCTTAAAGAAATTATCCAATTTGTTCAGAAAGAAATCCAAGATCAGAATGTTTTGAGTTTTTTTTTTTCAGAAGAGATTCTTTGTCTATTGTTAAAGGATGCCTAATGTTTGGAGAAAGGATTGTTATTCCATTTAAATACAGGAAAAGGATTTTAAATCAGTTACACAAAGGACATCCAAGTCAAAACCGAATGAAAGCTTTAGCTAGAAGTTACGTTTATTGGCCAAATATAGATGTAAATATTGTAGATTTTGTAAAACACTGCGTAAATTGTGCAGAAATTTCAAAATCACCTCTAAAAGTTTCACCATCTCCTTGGCCATTACCAAAAGGACCCTGGCAGCGGTTACACATTTATTTTGCTGGACCAGTTAATGGTTTATATTATATGCTTATTATCGATTCTTACTCAAAATGGCCAGAAATAGGCAGCTCTAAATTTACGGTTTCTGTGTTAAAAAAGTATTTTCCCGGTTTGGACTACCTAAAACTATAGTCACAGATAACGGAACACAATTTACTTGTGAACTTTTTAAGCAGTTTTTCCAAACCAATGGAGTGGAACATATTCAATCAGCACCATACTGGCCACAATCTATTGGTTAAGTAGAGAGATTCGTTGACACGTTTAAACGCGCATTCAGAAAATTTGAAAAAGAAGGGGATCACCTCCAAGATAGTGAAATTTAACAATATTTGATGGTATACAGATGAACACCCAATCCAAATTCACCAAAGAAAAAATCACCAGCAGAGCATCTCCTACAAAGGAAAATGCGTATTATTTTGGATTTTTGCTTCCCCAAAAATCAAAAGGAAGTCAGATACAGAAAATTCAAAGGAGTTACCTTCCAAATGACGACGTTTATGTACAGATCCATTCAAATAATGGATATAAATGGCTAGCAGGACAAGTTATTGAACAAATAGGAAACTTTATGTACAACGTTTTGATGCTTGAAGGGCCAATTAGGTTACAAAGATATACTTCTACAAAAAAATAAAATGATGATCTTCCTTTCGACATCTTAGTGGATGCCTTTGATGTAATACCCAACAAAATAGAAATTGAGAGTCAAACCCAATCAAGTCAACCATTTGAGATCACTAACTTGCTAGTATACTCGTCAACTCCGGGTTCAGAAACTTTGGCAGCTCAACGAGAAGATCCAGCAACAGAAAACGCGATTCCCCTTCGGAGCTCTAGAAGATGTACTAGAAAACCAAGTCATCTACAAGACTACATCTAAAAGAAAGGGAGAAGTGTTGGGAACCGGCTTAACGGAGCGTTAGCCTGGTAACGAACGACAAGTAATGATGACACGTTTTTGAAGTTTAGAGTTTTAATTTGTAATACATTTTAACTGTTATATAATAAACTGTTAAATAATAAATACTCAACACTCGTCCACAACAGTTATAAAAACAATTTATTCAGATAAATATGCAATATTATTCTTAACCGTTGTTAAGTTTTTAAATATTCACCCCGTCTAAGGGTAAAAACGATTTTCCTGCTAAATATCCAGTTCGATAGTTCATTTTCCTAAAAGCGGTGATCTATGGTAGAATATACTGCCTTAAATCCATTTAACAACAACCTTTGAAGTTATTCAGTGTCACTGCCGAATGCTTGCAATCGATAACTAGCTTCGGCATGATTTAACTTTCAACGAAATTATTGCACTGTATTGCAACTGTTGCAACAGACAAGTTAATACCAAAATATGAAATTCGTTCTATAAAAAACTATAGAGAATATAAACGAAAATCAACTATTGATCACAATTAAAATAATTTTTAAGTTATCGCAGCATGGGTAATTCCATAAATACCCATTAACTCATATCAAAAGAAATATATTTTTTTTTTTTGAAGAAAAATTCCAGGGTGAAAATCAATTTTCCGTCCCTACATTTTATCGACGTATTAAAGTTACCAACATTTTTGCAGCAAATTAATAATTAAATACGAAATTTGAAAATAAAGTTTTATAAAAATTTTGTATTTTTGGTTTTTCATTCATAACTTTCAACTTTTGTATTTTAATTTCTGCCAGATTATAAAAATATTATTAATTTAAATTTTATCAGCTTTTTTAAAAGTGATAAACCTATTCCATATATTTTGTAGTTATTTGTTTATTTATAAATAAACAATTATGATACAGTAAGCAAATAAAACGTTCCCTTTCATATTGAAAAATATCATCGATACCACCCTTATTCTTACACTTAATCTTAATATAGAATACCCTATTCCTTCCTATTTTTACTTGATGTGACATTTCAGCGGAATTGGGGTTGGAGACACTAAAAAAAATATGATTTTAGAACGAAAGTGAGCTCTCTCGAAAACCCAGCGGTTTTGTTTTATAAGATTAACGATCCTTTGCTAGGGACTTGATATCTTAACATTACGGCGCAAAAAATCATTTAAGGCGCCCTAGTTTAACGCTGACTCAGGAATCGTTTATTCCCAATGGAAATCCGTGTTCTTTTAATCCTTCCTATAAATTAGAGTTGAAGTGTGTGAATATAATTCTTAAAAAAAATCTGCACAACATTTTTTGCTGTACATTTGGTCGGTCACCTTAGTGTATATAAGTCATAAAAAGAAATACAATTATCTCTAATACGATTTAATGTGAAAAATCCGCAATTTCGAATACCTCTAGCAAGAAGAAATGGCAAGAAACTTGCTAAGGTTGTGGGTTTTTTCAAAATACAAGTACATTTTTTTTTTTATTTTTTTTTTTTTATTTTCTACCTTATAACAGATTGTTACAATATTACATTTATAATATATATTTAGGTAGCTTCCTCAATGGTGGAGTGACCTAGGCACTTATGCCTGTTATGTCCATTTCCACATGAAGAAGCTAACTAAGTGAATTAAAAAAAAATTAGTATAATAGATAGAGTATTCAGTGAGAAAGTGGGAGGCACAGTCAGAGAGAAAGATAAGGCAAGGCGATCTAAATTAAAATTTAGTAATTTTGAAGTTAATTTTAATAATTTAAAAAATTTCAAATACTTGAGGATTTGTCAAGATCAAAGTTTTAATTTGTTTTTTAAATGTAGAAATTTTATTTATTTCTTTTAAACGTGAAGGAACCAAATTGAACAGTTTAGGTCCAAAGTAGAAAAAAGATCTTTGGGTTACAGTTTTGTAGAAAAAGTCTATGTTTATATTTAAATTAGTTGCTGCCCTTGTAAATGTAGTTCTTTTTGCGAAGTTTGCTTGTTTAAGGTACATCCTTAGAAGACATTGAAAGGTGTATATTTGTCTCACTTTTAGTACATTTGTATCCTGATATAATGAAATTGTTGGAAATAGTCTATTTTTACAAAATATAATTTTTAAAAGAGAATTTTGTGTAGTCTGCAATGTCTGCAGAGTAGTTGTAAAAGTCCCTCCCCAAATTGTTATACAATATCTTAACAATGATTCGGCTAGTGAATTGCATATCATAATTAAATTTTCCCTAGATAAAATGTCTCTAACACTATAGAATTTGTGAATTAGGACTCGAAGGTGTTTATTCAGATAATGAATATGTTCTGTCCATCTTACATGTTGGTCAATCATAATACCTAAATATTTTATTACTTCTGTTTTTTGAATTAAGGGACAATTACAAAGTATATTTGTACATTTATAATTATGTAATTTAATTTGGATTAGAGGCTGATCGGTGACTGTTGAAGAAAATGCAACGTATTTAGTTTTTCCAATATTTAGACTAAGTAAGTTGTAGTCTAACCAGATTTTTAATTTTTTTAGACATGCTTCCGTAGTATTTTTCACTTCTTTCCATGATTTTCCCATTATTATTAAGGCAGTGTCGTCTGCGTAACAAACTAGTTTTCCCTCGAAGTTTTTGATTTTGGAGATGCTGTTTATATATAACAAGAATAATATTGGTCCGAGCACTGTCCCTTGCGGTACGCCTATTTTTACAGTTGATTTGGAGCTTAACTTATTTTCAATTTTTACACGCTGTTTCCTATTTGTTAGATAGTCTTTAAAAAGTTCCAGAGCAATACCCCTAATACCATAGTTATTCAACTTGACAATAAGTTTGTTATGATCGACTGTGTCGAAAGCCTTGGCCAGATCGAGGAATACCGCCAGGCACTTTATTGATCCGTCCAAGGTCCTCGTAACTGATTGATAGAGATCAAGCGCGGCATCCTCAGTACTACAATTTTTAAGAAAACCAAACTGATTTGGAGTTATAATTTGATTGTGTTCTAAAAAATTTATTATTTTTTTTTTAAGAGCTTGTTCGAATAACTTCGCAAAGTTATTTATCACTAAGATAGGTCTATAATTCGTGAGTTTACTATGGTCCCCGGTTTTATAAATAGGCGTAACTACTGATTCCTTCCATTTTACAGGTATTTTTCCACGGGTAAAACAAAGGTTTATGATATGAGTCAATGGATACAATATGTTTGTATGGATATGTTTGATGAGTTGACTACTAATTTCGTCTGGTCCGGGAGAACAATTGTTTTTTAGTTTATTAATTAGTATAATTAGTTCTGTTGTTGTCACAGGTTCTATAAAGAATGATGACTCCAAGACAATATCATTTAGAAAATTGTGAGGCAGATCGGTTTTTTTTATGGTTCTAGCCATATTGTCACCTAGATTTATAAAAAAGTCATTAAAAATGTTTGCCTTTTCATCATTATTCTTGATAATATTACCGTTTTCATTAGCAATATTGGTATTTGCAATTCGCGACTTATTTTTACTGTTAGTTACTTCATTTATAATTTCCCAAATTTTTTTACAGTTATTGTTTGCTTCACCAAGTTTGTTTTTGTAGTAATCATTTTTAGTTCTTCTTAGTAGTGAATTAAGTCTGTTTCTATATTCTTTATAGTATGCCTCCCGTTCAGGTGTACAGCTTTTAGTTAGTTTTTTTCTTTAATGAGTCTCTTGTATGGATTGAAGTAATTAGAGCTGTTGTGATCCACGGTTTTAACTTATGGACTTTAAGTTTTTTCGTTTTTATTTTAGTACATTTTTGAACATATTTTATAAATTTCCTGATAAAATTATCGAATGAAATCTGAACGTCGGTCTCGTCGATCACGTCATTCCATTTTTCGTTGCTTAATAAGTTATTGAGTTTTTTATAGTTTATGTTTTTATAAGTTTCTTCATTAATAGTGGTAGATTGTATTAGTGACGTGTTGTTAATGGGTGTTATATGAATGAATGGTGTAAAATGATCGGTAAGATTCGTTTGGAATACAACAGGCTCGATATTGATTATATTATTTAAACTATTTTTTTTTGTTGACGAAAATGTGGTCTATACAAGATTTGGTCTATAATAAGCTGTTAGTCCTACCGTATGATTTTTATTAGTATTATGAGATTTGTATTCCATAGAAAAAGTAATTCTTAAAAACTTGATTCCATTTATATCTAGTATATTGACTGATGGTGTTTAGTAGTTTCTAATGTAAACAATAGTTTTGTCACATTTATTTATGGTTGAATTATTTTGAAATATCATGTTGGTATATGGTAATCGCTAACTTCTATAGATCCTGTTTCAGATAAAATTATTATATCCAGAATACTTTTACCACTTTCCACATATACTAATAGTTCATCAAAATTTTTTCTCAAACTTCTTATGTTAAAATGACCTATCCCTATCCCCCCCTCCGCCGTACCACCCCCTGCCTCACTTGTATACTCATTAAAACTTAATAATTATTTCGTTACAATTTGCTGGTCATCTAAGACCATCAGAAAATCTATCATCTAACTATCAACTTAAGGTTATGTGACTGTGAGCCTCTATGATATATATATATATATATATATATATATATAACAATTTAGCGATTAATGTTAATTTTTTAACTAATTTACGTATATTGGAGACTAAATAGCAATTTTTATTGTACAAGAGAGAAGAAGAATACAAGAATTAAGTGAATGCATAATTTAGAGCTATAAGTTTATACAAAAAAAAGAAACAATTTTTTCTAAGTAATGGTACTACATAATATTAAGAAGAAATAAGGTGTTACCTAGATTATATTTATGAAATGTTCCATATCTTTTTTATTTTTAACAATTTTTATTTTATTTTCGTGATAAACATGGATTTTCCCATTCTCGGTCCATACATTTTTGATGCCTAGCTTCTCAGTTAATTTGTTGACCAGTTCTAGTTTTCCTTTAGGAAGATCTTCTTTTATTACTATTCCCGTAC